TCCTGGTAGTTGGGCCCAAACTACTGTGTGAGAGAAGGTGGCACTTTCAGGTTTGAAATTTGGTTCCCAAGGTCTAATAGTAAGGTAAGAAGTACCTACGAACCAAGGTCCTCCATTGATCACCCTGTTAAGATCTTCCTGCACTTGAAAATGGACAAGAAAATAATCATAACCCAAATCAATGCAGTCCCATTTACCTGTGGGTTTCCATTGAGTTTTAATGCTTCCATAAAGGAAATTGTATCCCATTGTCTTGCTGAAAGTTTTGATGATAAAAGATTTTGTCCATGGTTCCCTCATTCATCTTTTTTCCTCTTTTAAAAAGAGGATAACTAGGTTTGGGTCCTCTGGGTCATCATCTACATCTGAATCTTCATCAAGATAATCAAGAGTATATCCTGAGGTTCTCCACAATTCCATCCATAAGGAGTTTATCCCTCTAAGATGGGGTAGTGGTTAGAGCTTCCTCCATGCTTTCCTCCTTTGAGAGGGGAGCATGAGTCCCATTTGAATCCTTAATTCATATCATGCTTCGAGCTAGCAAATCGTTCTCTTGAGAAGAGGAGAAAGTTAGAGAGGGAAAGTTAGCATTCGTCATATTCAGTAATTTCCTTTTTGAGTATGACTTTCAGTATATTATAGCAAAATCTATAATTTACCCAAAACTATAACCCAAATCTATAGCTAAAACTCATACTTAACTATGGAAATCAAAGCATCAACAGTATAAATTGCAAGAAATTTCAACCAGAGAGTGTGTCCCTACATAACTTTAACATAGCACCTGGCTAGAAAAGAGAAAGAAAGACACAGGGGACCAATTGGAAGTAGAGAGATGCAGAGAAACTAGGGCAAAAACCTATTTTTGGCCCTTTACCGTGTTAGGTTTGTAAGTTCCTTCACCTTATACTATGACACTTTAACCCATCACCTATCATAATTGAAGAAAATAGCCCTCACTTTATAATATTTCGTTAGTTTTGTTAACTAACTGTTAATTTTATTCGTTAATTGTTAACACTGTTAGTTGAAAGTAGGTTTTTAATAACTAACAGTCAGCTAGTAGAGTTAACAATTAACTAACATAATAGTTCTGTTAACTAACTCTTAACTCTATTAATTAAAAGTATGTTTTTGCTAACTAATAATCAGCTAATAAAGTAGCAGTCACCTAACAAAGTAGCAGTTAGCTAATAGAACTAACAAAATATTATAAGTGAGGGTTATTTTCTTTTATTCTAATAGGTGAGGGGCCAAAAGTGTCATAATATAAGATGAGGAACTAAAACCTACAAATCTAATAAGGTAAAGGGATAAAATAATGCTTTTGCCGATCGACTAGTGGGTTCCAGAGGCTTCTATTTTAAGTCACAACAAAATTGTTTTTCTCGGTTGATATAATGCCATTTGGCAAAGAAAATTGGAATAATTGAGTTGAGGTCCTTCAACTCCAACTAAGTTCTACTTAAAACCCCTAAACTCTAAATCTAATCAATTTAATCGCTAAAACTATACAAAAAAGGACTTTAGTTTCTAATCTATTCACTAAAAGTATATGGAGTGTTATAGATACTTTTCATTTTTTACTTTGGGACTAATGAAGCAAGTAGTTACCTTATCACCTCGTCATATTTTTTTGCCTCTTCAATTTTGCTTGGTATAGATTCTAGAGGCATTTCAAGAGCAAATATGTAGTTTAAATTGGAGGGTGGAGAAAGTGCTAACTTTCCCTTTCAACTATCTATCCTTTCATTAGCACCAGCACCAACACACTCCTGAACCCCTCAGAAATAATCCAAATTGTTTCAAGTAGGGACATAACTTGTTTCCTTGACTTGAGCATTTACTATTTGAGATGTTTCTCTTTTGAAATTTCATGAAAATTAAAGATGTGTTTTTGTTTTGCCTAAATAATTATAGTGAAATAAGGTGGGACTTTAATTTTAGTGTATTGAGATTCATTCAACTCTTAGGACATGTAAACTTATCCAATGAAGGAGAGAGGAGAAAACCTGAAAACTAGTTCAATTATTTAGGAAACAAAATGTTAGTGGTTATTCTCATATTTTAGACTAAATTGAGTACAAAACTTTTTGCTTAATATTGTTTAGCACCTACATGTTTGGGGCCAAAAAAAAAAAAGGAAATCTAAGAAGCAGAATACCTATGGTTTTTGGGTAATAAAGTTGCTTTTTAAGACTGTCTGGTATAAGCTTATGACATAATATTGTATCTACAACTTGGAAGTTTCCGTATACATACAAAACTCTTAATGACCTTTAAACTCTACAAGTTTCTTAAGATAAAACTCTATACTATTGCATCTCATTTCCATCTGTTCTTTTCCAATTTTGGCAAAATACATCACCTTTAGACTAAATGAATTTTAGAATGAATTTTATATATCAACATACTGGAGAAGCTGTTTATGCTTTTATTTATCCCTGTTGGATAAAATGATGTTTGTGATTTGGCTATGATTGTGGTCATTACTTTATGATCCCAACCTAAACTCTCTAGCAAATTCAAAAGTTGCAAGAATGATTAGTGAGAACAAGTGTGAATACAATCGAAGAGTAAAGGAAGTCATGGAGCAGAGCTATGGATTGCAAACTAACTTCATGCATTGGCATGGCAGTTTTGATGGCATGCCAATCTGCCTATTACTGTCAGGATTTGTCAACTTTATCATGTAATTCCAATATGTTCCATTCATAAATGGATGTTAGGGCTCTTTAATCTATTCTTAAACTATCCCTTTGCTTTGTGTGTCCTTATTTAAGCTTGTGTAACATAGAATTTTATGTATCTTAATGTCTTTGCATGAAATAGTCATATCATATGCACTACTTAATGGTTTAATACAAGAAGTTATTTGCTACATATCCCTTCTTTTCCTATAGTGTTACAAGCCCTTGGTGGGGAAAAAGGATTAATTGAATTGTTGGTGCTTGTGGATTATAGACTTTATTCATGAGGAACTGGATACCAATTGGTTAGGTTATGAAATGGTTGAAAATGGGTTGTAAGGAAGCAGCAATGGCACCACCAATAGGGGAAATAGACATATGCATTATGTTTAATTTTAGCCGGACTACAAAATAAGATTTGAGGGGGGTGTGGCAACCCCCAATGTTAGAAGGCTTGGAACCATCTAATGGTTTAATGTTATAAAGTCTAAACAAAATTAAACTACATTACACTTTTTTATAATTTTTATCAAACTATCCAAAGTTCCAAACTTCACAAAGGAAATTTGTTAGAACTTTGTGCTAAGGAAATATAATGATACAATGTCCATAAATCTATTTGAACCATAGTTTATCATGCAAATACAATCACTTCAAAGTTGCAAGCGCATTGCAATTCAAACAAAATCAAATAGCATCTATTTATAAAGATTAATAACATTAACAAATGAAAAATAAGCTTAATGATTCATTACAATTTGTATCTCCAGTTAACTATATGATAATACTAAACATCCAAAGTTCCAAATTCAACTGATCAACAACCAAATAAAAAACAGGCCAAAACTTCACACTAGATTGGAACACCTTCACTTAACCCTCAAATACAGACTAAAAACCAAACATCAGAGTAAACATAAAGAACCCCAAAATATAGAATGTGGGTGAACTGACAATGTTCAACAGATTGCTATGTAGAACAATGCCTTTGTAGATTCAAAAACATTGATTTCTTCCATTTAGGAAGCATCCTGCGATGAAAGATGGATTCATGATTTTGATAGAACTTAGGTAAACAAATTTGCATAACTAGTTTTCCTTGAGTACCCAATATTTGCTTCATGTGCAACCTAATACAGATGAAAAACGTTTGGAACACAAACCAACCAGTGTTAATATACGAATTTCACCACATTTTCCTGGTTCCCTTCAATTGTTTCAACTGTTGCAAGTGAAGGATTGGCTGCTCCTATAAGTCAAAATATATAAAATTCTTAAAGTCTGGCACCCAAAAAGTGTAAATACTTCAAAGTAAGAAACACAAGTATGAACTTGCCTTCTTCAATGGTTGACTTCTTTCCCTGTTTCTTTGTCTTATCCATTTCCTTTTTAAGCTCTGACTTTACAGTATTTTGGGCTTTCCTTTATATTTTATGACCCCCAATATTCGAAACATGTGTTGAATTTGCAGAATTCTTATTCAGGGGGCCTTAATCCTAGTTGTAAGATTCCTCTTTGAAGCAGTATCATTCATGGTTAAATGCTTAATTTGGTCCCTCAACTTTAGAAAATGAACATTTTTGGTCCCTCAACAATTTTTTGCACTTTTTTGATCCTTCAACTATACAAAATGCACTACGTTAGTCTTTCTGTTAATTTGGGCCGTTAACCCTACTTAGATGGCATTTTTTATATATTTTTTGATGATGTGGAGAGCAAAACTTAAAAAAGTGATGACATGCATAAAACTTTTGCCATGTCACATGCTACCTGGCAAAAACACACCAAATCCATCCAAATGGGTCCCACATCACCACTAACAATTGCTTCTTTGCCCATCGGTTACTGTTTCTATTCTTTCCGGTGTTCTTTCCATTTTCAAGATTGGAGTTCGACGGGTATTCTTTCCATTTTCAAGATTGAAGTTCGACAAAACCCAACTTGATTCATTTCTTTCCATTTTCAATATTGAAGTTCCACAGAACCCAGCTCGATTCATTTCTTTCCATTTTCAAGATTGAAGTTCGACAGAATCCAATTTCGATTCATTGAACTCAATTGTCCAAAAATCTCTCGCAACAACATGCAATTTGGAAATCTCTTGGCAAACAATCATATAACAAAAAAAAAGCCCAAAAATCCCTCACAACAACCTGCAATTTGAACAATTTCTAAGCAAACAATCATATAAACAAAAAAAAGAAAAAGAAAAAAGTGGAGCTGGGTTCTGGGTTCGGTGGAACCTAGCAACTGGGTTTGATGGAACCCAGTGCTAGGTTCCACCGAACTCAGTTGCTGGGTTTGATGAAACCCAGCCTGGGTTCCACCGAACCCAGCAGATCTGGGTTCGATGGAACCCATTTGTTGGTTTCCACCGAACGCAGCAGATCTGGGTCTGATGGAACCCATTTGTTGGGTTTCGTCGAACCCAGTGCTGGGTTCCAACGAACCCAATTGCTAAGTTCGACGGAACCCCGCCTGGGTTCTACCGAAGTCAGCAGAGGGTTCAATGACCCAAGGAAGAAAGAAGAGGAAGAAAAAAAAAAGAAAAAGAGAAAAGAAGAAGATGAACGAATTATTTTAGTTTATTTTTTAAAAATATATATAGGAATAATGTGAGTTGGCATGAAAAAAAATTCCACGTCAACATGTTTTTAATTTGCTTTTGCCACGTCATCAAAAAAATAATAAAAAATGCCACGTGAACGAGTTAATAATCGAAATTAGCAGAAAGACTAACGGAGTGCATTTCATATAGTTAAGGGATCAAAAAAGTGCAAAAAATTGTTAAGGGACCAAAAATGTGCAACTCACTAAAGTTGAGGGATCAAATTTAACATTTAACCTATCCTTCATTGGCTTTGCAGCTAATGAGACTAGAGCAAGAGGAAAGTTTGTGTTCAAGGACTTGGGTTTCAACCCTGCTTCAACTGTAAAAGAAAAGCCATGAACATCCTCATCAAATGACGATGCAGCTTCTTCAAGCACCTGAGAACAAGCCTCAAAGACCTATCGTTGCTCTGCATTTTTTGAAATGTTGTATTTTTCAAATAGTTCTTTCACAACATCCTTAAATTCATCAAGATCACGACAACATGCATCGGATCTAAGCTCATCTTGCATTTTCTGTAAGGGTTGAAATAAAAAGGATTAAAAGCAACGACCAATACGCACTGAATTTTCAATTAAGTCGACATGGTATTGATTTGAGATTTGTTTCGATCAAATTTTGATTTTCTCTGTTAAATTTCAATGTACCGACCAATATTTCACATATCGATAGCTCAAATCTTAAAAAAAAAAGAAAAAAGGCAAAAAAACAAATCAATCCCTATTTCAGTGAATGGTGGCAAATCAACCCTCTCAACTAAGAATAGACACAAATCAAACCCTCAATTTATTATATAGTTACAAATCAACCCTTTTTCGTATCGCTTACACTTGTCAATTTGTAATGAAAATGTGATTTTGATTGGATTGATTGCTTATATGATAATAAAATGGTATCTTACATCAATACTAAGTTGGCATTAAATTAGAAATTTATATTGTACCGCTTACATTAGGCACCTATCAATTTGTAATGAAAAAGTGATTTTAATTGGATTGATTGCTTATATGATAATAAAGTGGTATCTTACATCAATACTGAATTGGCATTAAATTAGAAATTTATATTAAGATTTTTTTTTAGTGTATTTATTAAATATTTTTATTATTAATTTATATAAGAAATTACAAAAAT